ATAATACTGTTAGTATATATTCTCTTTTTAACATTGTGTTCAGAAATATTAAAACCATCTTAACTTGCTTTTATGAATGAATTAAAAAATGAATTTTGAGCAGATAAATGCAATTTGTAAATCAGGGGAAGATCAATGTAATATAAATTTGCAGACATCATTTTTATGCTCCTGAACTACATGATTCAGCATGTGCTCCACAATTCCTCTCTATCACCTACATATATAATGAAGACGAATTAAACAACACAAGACTAAAAATTTAAATTGGGCCAGGTGTGGTGGCTCATGCCTGTAAATACAGCACTGTGGGAGGCTGAGGCTAGAGGATTGCTTGAGCCCAGGAGTTCAAGGCCAGTCTAGGCAACATAGTGAGGCCTTGTCTCTACAAAAAAATAAATTAGCCTGGTGTGGTGGTGCACACTTGTAGTCCCAACTACTTGGGAGTCTAAGGTGGAAAGATCACCTGAGCCCAGGAGGTTGAGGCTACAGTGAGCTGTGATCACGCCACTGCACTCCAGTGTGGGTGACAGAGTGACACCCTGACTAAAAAAAACAGAAACAAGATCAAGACAACTTAAACTATATATAATGACTATGGTGGTTAATGGGTTTTAGCTGAGTTATAGGCACTCTAAGTTTTCCTACTAGGCAGTCACTTGATTCACATAATTTGGAAGCTCTCACATGCTTCAACAAATTTACAATTATTTGTAAAGTAATTACAGATTAAAAAAAAATTAGTACAGTCGTCCCTTGCTATATGCAGGGGATTGGTTCTGGGAATGCCTGCATTCGGCCCTAACAAACACAACTATATGAAAAGTGGCCCTCCCTACATGTGGGTTTCACATCCCATGACCACTGTTATTTTCAGTCTGCTTTTTTTTTTAGTTGAAGTCTCACCCTGTTGCCCAGGCTGGAGTGCAGTGGCATGTTCTCGACAGCCTCAACCTACTGGACTCAGGCAATCCTTCCGTCTCAGCCTTCCAAGTACTTGGAATTACAGGTGTGCGCCATCATGCCTGGATAATTTTTAAAAAATTTATTGTAGACGAGATCTTGCCAAGTTGCCCTTGCTGGTCTTGAACCCCTGGACTCAGGCAATCCTCTCACCTCTGCCTCCTAAAGTACTGGGATAACTGGTGTGAGTCACCATGCATGGCCCTCAATCTACAATTGACTGAAAAACAAAAACATTCACATATAAGTAGTCCTGCATAGTTTAAACTTGTGTTGTTCAAGAGTCAGCTGTAATTGAAATGAGAAACAGAGATGGGCTCAGTGGCTCAGCCTGTAATCCCGTACCTTGGGAGGCTGAGGTGAGTGAATTGCCTGAGCCCGCGGGTTTGAGACCCGCCTGGGCAACTTGGTGAGACCTCATCTCTACAATAAAAATCAAAAAAATTAGCCGGGCATGGTAGCGCACGCCTGTGGTTCCAGCTACTTGGAAGGCAGAGACGGAAGGATCGCTGGAGCCCAGTAGGTTGAGGCTGCGGTGGTCGGGAGCGGCCACTGCACTCCAGTCTGGGTGACAGAGTGACTCCAACTCAAAAAAAAAAAAAGAAAAAAAAGAAAAAAAAGAAATGAGAAGCTGACATTATGAATAAGCTCCTATACTTTCCTTTACTGGGAAAAGCTAACAAATAAAAACATTAAACAAACCCTCAGCAGAGTTCCTTTAACTCTATGCCTAGAAAAAGGTCAAGCCTGGCTTGAAGGGACTCTTGGTCTATGCAAACATGCTGGAATTGGGAAACCAGGTTAAGTTAGGGAAACAAAAGATATGAAACCTTTCAAGTTTGGACAGGTGTCCTAATTCCACATTAGCACTCTAAGACATGCTGATAAAGGCATTTAATCTATATTGCAATTTACGTTATGGGCTCCCACAAAACAGTATTCCTTTTTCTTGCCTTTGTTCAGTGCAGTGCTGTCCTGTCTCACCCTGCTCAGCCTGGACTTTGTTCTAAAATGCCACAACCTTAAGCTAAACTCAAGCTCCATGAAGAATGATGATCAGGTTCATTAAGTCACTAAATATCAATGCTTAAGAAATATAATCTAAGGGCTTCCTATATCAGCATTACAAATGAAACAAAACTATCTACTGTAATACTATATATCATTATTAATTTCACTTTATGAAGCTAAAAAAGCAAGGTTTTTATTTGCTTACTAATGAATTTACTTTAATGTCTATAAAGATAAATAGCTATTGGCAACTAGATTGGATAATTATGATAAAAAAATTAGAAAGTTATTATTTCCACTGACTTTCATTTCTAAAACAGTAGCCTATTTATTTAAGTTGCTATCTTCTTTAAGGGTAGACAAGAAGTCAAAATGAGAGCTTTAATTTATTAATTTATTATTATCATTATTTTTTGAGTTGGAGTCTCACTTTGTTGCCCAGGCTGGAGGGAAGTGGCATGCTCACGGCCACCCCAGTGTCAACCTGCTGGGCTCCAGTGATCCTTCTGCCTCAGCCTTCCAAGTAGTTGGAACTACTGGCACTCACTACTGCACTTGGATAATTTTTGATTTATTGTAGAGACGAGGTCTTGCCAAGTTGCCCGTGTTGGTCTCGAACCTGCGGGCTCAGGCAATTCATTCGCCCCGACCTCCTAAAGTGCTGGGATTACAGGTTGAGCTACCGAGCCTGGCAAGTGCTTGAATTCTTTATTTTTATTTTTTTGAGTTGAGTCTCACTCTGTCGCCCAGACTGGAGTGCAGTGGCCGCTCCCGGCCACCGCAGCCTCGACCTGCTGGGCTCCGGCGATCCTTCCGCCTCAGCCTTCCAAGTAGCCAGAATTACAGGCATGTGCTACCACATGATTTATTGTAGAGATGAGGTCTCACCAAGTTGTCCAGGTGGGTCTCGAACCCGTGGGCTCAGGCAATCCACTTACCTCAGCCTCCCAAAGCATGGGATTACAGGCTGAGCCATAGAGCCTGGCTCAAGTGCTTGAATTTAAAATCAAGTACACCTTGGAGGGAATCAAGAATTCATAGCAGTATAACTCATCCACATACAGAAATTTTCCTTAAGACTATCTATCTTTTGCTTAAAAATAGCAGATATTAACAGAGGCACTATAAGAAAAAAATGGCCCTCTTATTCATTGCAAAGTCACTTTTATTTCCACCAGCTGCATACATTTTCATTTTAAATCCTGAGTTGTCTATACTGAGCTCCCAGCACATCACATTCACATTTATTCAACAATTCTTTAATTCAGTTCAATGAAAACACTAGATGGATTCTATGACTCTATGAAGTAGATAAGTAAACACAGATGATTAAAATATGTTTCCTACTCTTAAGTACTTACTCTCTAGTATAATATAATTACTACAAAAAAGTCTATTTTTATTAAAGGCTGAAAAACTTTATTGGATGAACAACCTACAAATACAAAGTTATAAATACTCAGCTTAAACGATGAACCCAGTTGAATACCACTTACCTTGTTGAATTAGCTTTTTATAGTTTCAATCTATTTTCATTACTTTGCCAGTTGGCTCTTAGTTCTAGGTCTTTGGGACAATCTTTTCATTATGGCTACACATCCACCTCCCAATAAAAACTGCTCTACAAAATACTTAACTGAACCACAGATTAACTGCTTCTCTGAAATTCTTTAATGCATTATTCTTAAGTCTTTTAGCTTGAACGAAAGTCCAACAAGTGTTACTTTTGCTTTTTTACCTTGACTTAACCAATACCATTTTTTTCTATACCCTGTAGGCCAGTCATTCCCAACCTTTTGTTCACCTGGCCACAGTGTGGGATAACAAGAGCAACACCATCTTACAGGTGTAATCAGAAGTTTTACGTGCTGTATCCCACATGAAACTTGGATGCAAGGCTGAGATGCAAGGCTGAGAACCTCTCATCCAGCTTGTGCTCACAGCAATCTACTTCAACTCCGATTGTAGCCTCTGTGTGCAATGAACCTTAAATCATCTCTTCTGTTTTTCTAAACCAAATTTTAAATTCACCAACCTCTATGTCACCATAAAACGCCTTCATTTTTTCCCCCCTACTTACTGTCTCATTACTTTTGGTCTATCATTCCCAAACCCACATTTTCACCTAAATTTTGTTTACAGAAGAGAATCTGAACAATTAAAATTACATATTTAGGGAGGTGATTCATCCATCAGTTATGTATATGGACAAATATCATAAACTATCATACACAGATATATATGTATACGCCTTCAGATATATACTGTGTCCTTTTTTGTACCGGGTTCTGCTACCTTCCTATCTCTTCAGCCCTAGTTGGCATCTAGCTGGGTAACAAGGGGAGGAATTCCTGAGTTAGCACAGATAATTCACAAAGCAAATACTATGCCAGTGGATAATTAAGGATAATTTACTATGCTGTAATGAGTTAGAATCCTCTGGTAAGTCCCTGAACTCTTCAGATATAACCACAGGAACAGAATGTGACAGGTCTTTATGGAGTCCAAAAATGACTTACTGAAAAAAATTAATGGTGACTTTATAAACAAGCTGGATACAAAGTATCTTACACATTGTATTTATAATTTAAAAATTCTTCTTTCTCCATAAGCTATTCTAGATGATATTTTATAATGATGTCACCAAGTATTTTTCTTATACTTGAATTACTACACTGAAGTACATTACCATTAAACTTTCTGTTAGAAATACCTAACATGAAGGAGTGTAAACATTTTTATAGTTACAAGTATAGCCTTTCTCCATATACCAGGGGCCACTTAAATAGAATTTTAAAAACTTAAATAAAACAAAACAATCTCCTGCATGTCTTTGGTATCAAAAAGTCAAAAAATTACATACAATAGAAAGACTTCTGGCAATTTTATGTAAGAAACATGAAATATCTTTTTCATAATGGTTATTGGATTAACTATATTGACATGGTACTTTTCTGGAAAGTTAGACTTCAATTTTCAATATGAACTACAAACAACAGTTTAGTTAAATAAAAACTTTTACATACGTTAGAGTTGTTTCCATTCTTGAGACTTGTTCAAGGTCTTCATCAGGGTCCCTGAATCCAGTAAAGGAGTAATAAGACTTGTCCCATTTGATGGGCCTGTCAGACATCCTTTTAGTCTCTTTGAGAGGCTGGGAATGCACATTAGTATTCAAGCTTTGGATATGTTCAATAGATAAACTGCAGGAGTTGAGAATATACAATACTGTGCTTAGCAGATCTCTGGTGTGCAAAGTAAATTTGACTGCTCGAAATCCTAGAGAATATAATTCCCCCAAACAATTAATACAGATAATTATTTGCTTTATTTCAACATTTATCAAATCAAAATATTTCAAAACATTTAATCACTGATTTAAATTTGCCCTAACGGTAAAACATCTGTGTGTGAAAAATGATTTCCCTCCTCCCAAACTATTCCACGCTATTTTTACCTTCATGAACTCCTTCAATCATCAACTCCATTTTCTAGTTTGGCACCAGTGACCAAACCCACCCCAACACAAGAAGGGGATTCAGAATATTCTCAATGCTGCCCATAAGTCTGGCCTCTTAAGAGACAGAAAAGCTCTTTGATGAGCAGGTGTCCATCAAAGATAGTTTCTAGCTGAGAGGGGAGGAGACTGGGAGAGCAGGAACCTGTACTGTGGCAGTGGTTCATATGAAGAGAGGAGCCAGATAATCTAGGCTTAGTGGTCACAGAAACCCATCTTGAATTTTCTCTATGATTGAAGAAGATTGTTCTCATATTTGCCCACCCAACTAGCTTGTAACCCAATATTTTCAGCAGTAATTTAAAAATTCTCTAATTGTTTAAGCTACTGAATCATGTTGGATAGTTGGGCTAAAGTTAGTAATCTAAATTGTTAAGTCATCAATAGGAAGTCTACTGGGTTTTTTTGGTTTTTTTTGGTTTGCTTTCTTTTCTTGCTATTAGGTTCCAGACAGAATATGCATAATTTTTCGATCAACATTCCTACCAACTATGCCATTATCATCTCTCTTGTCAAATGTGAAGAAACAGGTTAAGAATGAGGCTAGGGCTTAAGTATGAGTTGACACCAAGTCAAGTATTTTCTCCACTACAACAGGCTGACTTTTTTTGCTTTTTAAAAAAATATTTTTAATTAGTTTGAAAAATTATAAAAATGTCATATAAGTATATGCTTATTGGAAAATTAGGGGATATATAAAGTAAAAGCAAAAATTTCCTGTTAATAGGCATATAACAACACACCTTTGCTAGATATAACCACTATTAACAGTTAAGTACATATTCTTCCAGGCCTGCAATATCTAATATGGTAGCTACCAGCCACATGTGACTACTTAAAATTAAACTGATTAAAATTTAAAATTTAGACCACTGGTCACACTGGCCATGTTCGAGTGCTCAATAATTGAATGAAGCTGATACCCACTATATTAGATGATACATATATGAAACGTTTGCTCACTGCAGAAAGTTCTCTTGGGCAGCACTGTTCTAGTCCTTTTCTATCTATGTGCTTCTGGGTGTATATATATTATATATATATTATACATGCTATATATGCATGTGTGTTTATACAAACAAACAGCCACACAGTTTGAATTGTTTCTTCTTAATATATAAATGGTATCATTCTAGATACATTAATTTGAACTTGCTTTTGTCTCTTAACCTTGGGGCGCCTCTATATCTGTATACATAGGACAACTTCATTCTTTTCAGCATTCACATACTAGTCCATAAAATGAATATAGCATAATTTACTTAACACTTCCAACAGTGATGGATATATAAGTTGTTTTCAATTATTCACCATTCAAGGCTGAAATATACTTTCTTGTCTTTACAACTGACGAGTTATCAGAATTTAAAGCATTCTCAGAGATATATAATCTGCTTGCTACACAGACTTGGGGAACCTAGAACATGCAAATTAAGAAAGACCTTACAGTTGAATCATTTGATGGTAAAGCGAGAACTACTGATAAGTTAATTATTCTAATAAGTGAAGGAGGAAAGGAAAACGCAAATTGCTGTGTTGGAGGTTAAGAAGAAATAGCTTCTCCTGAGAAGTACAAAGTCAAGGAATAAATCTCACTCTCTATTTTATCAGTTCCATTAATTATTTGACCCAATGTAAGAGCTGCTATATAGTGAAGACTGCCTGTTCAAGACTGCACATATCCTTTACTGGTTCCCTGGGTACATTTTGAGAAGAGGGATTTTATGGCTTTGGAGAGAGAATTCCAAACTGCACTCTAGAGATTGTACAAATTTATATATCAACCAATAATGTGGGTAAATGCATTCTCACCATCCATGGGTATTATCAGTAAAAAAAAGAAAAATATATGATAGGAAAAATTGCACCTAATTATTTCAGTTTGCATTTGGATATGAAGGCTAAACATTTTAATATACTTATTGGCTAAGTATATGTATTATTTCTTGAACTGTTAGTATTGTCTCTGCTAATTTTTATAATCGAAATACTGTGTTTTCTTTTTGATTTGTAAGAACTCTTTATATATTAACATTATCTTTTTTTGTCATATATGTTATATGTTATTTTCCATTTATAATTTAGTTTTTTCTACAACCTGTTTTTTGAAAAACGAGGTCTCACTATGTTGCCCAGGCTGGCCTCAAACTTTTGGGCTCACATGATTCTCCTTCCTCAGTCTTCCAGTAGCTGGGATTATAGGCATGTCACCACTCCCAGGTATAACCTATTTTTGTTTAATGAATGTTTCAAAGTTAACCATTAACTGAAAGTAAAGGATTTCTGTTTTTACTCAGGCAGAACTGGCTACAGCTATTTGTTTTAGCATTAATTCATAGAATCTTCTTTTTGTTTTTGTTTTTATTTGAGTCAGAGTCTCGCTCTATTACCCAGGCTGGGGTGCAGAGGCTCGATCATGACTCACTGTGGCCTTAACGTCCTGGGCTCAGGTGATCCTGAGGCATGACGTGTGCCACCAAACCCAGCTAATTTTTACATTTTTTGGTAGAGATGAGGTTTCTCTATGTTGTCCAGGCTGGTCTGAAACTCCTGGGCTCAAGCAATCTTCCCACCTTGGCCTCCCAAAGTGCTGGGATTACACGCATGAGCCACCATGCCTGGCCTATCAGAAAGTTCTTGGTAAATACTTAACTTGTTTGAAATTTATTCTAATAATAAAATTTATTTCCTCATGAACCACCAAAAAGGTGTGGCACTGAAGAAATAATTTAGGTCTTTAAGGAGTTCAATGCGCTCATAATGTAAAATGATTCATGAAATTATAGTAATGTAATGAAATTATAGTATTTATGCCTTACTGCCATCTTAAATATCAGTGATAAGCTGATTAATGATTTCTAGTGTTCTAGAAATAAAAACTATACTAACCTACTTTAATTTAATAATTAGATAAAAATGCTAAAAAAATTAAAATGTCTTAAATCTTTGTCAGAGGATCAATCTTTGTCATAAAGACAAAAGCAGAAATGATTAATAGTAATATTTTAAAAGAAGAATTAATAGATAATGTGGCATAAAAATTAAAACACTGAACTAGAAATAAGAAGACAAGTTCTAGTATCAGCTTTGTCCCTAATTTGCTGTGTGAAACATTCTAGGTTTCCCCTAAGCTTTCAAATTCGGTTTACTCTAACTCTATGTATATTCAATATTTAAGACAAATCCAGCTGATGGTGGTAGTAGAGTAATAGTTGTAGCTGTGAAAATGAGCTTGACTCTTCTAAGCACATAGAAATAAAAGCAGACGAATGATAATATTTTTGTATTTTAAAAACTATAAAGGGCCGGGCTCGGTGGCTCAGCCTATAATCTCGCGCCTTTGGAGGCTGAGGTGAGTGGATTGCCTGAGCTCGCGGGTTCGAGACCCGCCTGGGCAGCGAGACTTCATCTCTACAATAAATAAAAAAATCAGCCGAGTGTGGTAGCGCATGCCTGTAGTTCCGGCTACTTGGAAGGATGAGGCGGAAGGATCGCCAGAGCCCAGTAGGTCGAGGCTGGGGTGGCCGGGAGCGGCCACTGCACTCCAGACTGGGTGACAGAGTGAGACTCCAACTCGAAAAAAAAACCCAAAAAACCCCAAAAACTATAAAGGATCTTAATTTGCCTCTATAAATTCCATCTGTCTTTCTGAAAAAATCATGAAACCCAAGTAGATCACCAAGCATAAGTATGATTTTCTTTAAGTTCCAACTTAATCTTGGCCCTGAATAATAGGAGCATATATCTATTAAAAACATTTATCAGTATTTGGTCTTACACTAGCAGACAATGTGTCTCAGTTGCTTACAAGACGTTCATGGCTGAGAACAACATATTCATAATGGATTAAAACAAATAATTATTTAAACTTTCAACAGAATTGTGTCTCTTAGAGTGATAAACATGATTATTACTCATTACTATTATTTATAGCATTCTTCAGTATATCTGTTCCTTCACAAAAGGGCTATGAGTTGCTCTTCTGTCTCTAAGTAATGAAGAATAGGACTATTTTTAATAAAACTCTAAATCAGAGGTAGATGGAGAAATGGCCAAGAAAAGGAATTTGTGATTCCTACTATTCAATCATGGAAGAATAAAAATAGGAGAAAATAGACTATAAAATACTAGTCCCTAGAGAGACTGGGTGGGAAATTTTCTACAACATAAGGATCATATTTTAGCACCTTTCAGTTCTACCTCTTCCTTGTACCACTTAAGGTCTTGAAAGCCTTGTGAGCATGAGGTATAAGTTAGGGATCTTCAGTGTGAGTGGCTGCTCTCTTTCATTTTAATAAAGAAAGACCCAAAAGTTAAGGTCTCTTGGCAGAGCTAGAAACAGATTACAGATCTTAAAAGACTTATCAAATTTTGAATTTTGCAAGGTTTATAAAAAATTATAGTACATTTTCTAACTTTTTCAGCATTAACTCACAGCATCTTTAAATTGTTTTGAGTTCATTCTAAAAATAAAATTATTTCTTCAAGGATCATCAAAAGGATAAATATTTAGAGAAACAGGCCTTTAATGATCCGTACCTAAATATTTGTCCTTAATTTTAAGTATTACTGGATCATGGCTAGAGCAGTGGCAAAAGGAACTGAAAAGAAGCCTGTCTGTTAAGACTGATTCACTTTTAGAAACAGAATAAGGTTGGAGTTAAAAAACTTGCGTTCAGGACTTAAATTCTATCTCTATGGTCTTGGAAAAGGAGCTGAACATCACTAAATTACAACTGGGCAAATACTACCAGCACAGGGT